TGAACGAAACTATTCGAAAATTTCGTGAACGAATGATGAATGGCGAACGAAAATTCCGGCGCCCCAGTTTTTACGGCGAAAATGTGCGGAGTCCTTTATAGCCCGCGCAATGAGCACGCGAAATGGTCCCTTCGTTTGCGTTCAGCCAATGAAAAGCGACCGGCATCGACGAACACGCGAAACGGGACACGCGTCCGTGGTGCTGTTCCATTAAACCGCGCTGATTCCTCGTCAGCGATTGTAATCAATTTTTTTTGACACGGAACATTAACGCTGATTACACGAGATAATTGGTCCCGTGATCGAATTCCTTTGTAATTAAACTAGATCGAGTGAAAAGTTGGTTCACGTTGATCGAGGAAAACTTGGTCCGTGTTGATCGAAGAAAGATTGGTTCGCGTCGATCGAAAGATCGTTCTTTCACTGGTTCCGAGAAGAAACGTTCGAGCTTTATAACAAGCTCGCTTCTAGCTTGAATATATGATTTCTTTCGAAATCGAAAAGACTTTCGCGAGTGATTGGAAAATCAGAATTTTGACGAAAGTTACGTGAAACGTAACGTGATGGTGGGAATGAAGTTTTTGGGAAGAATTCTCGAAAATAAGAGTGGCGAAGTAATAGATTAAGATGGTTTGCACTTTGCTTTTCAATCGAAAGAATGGCGAAAGTATAATGAACCAAAACGATCTTGTTCTTCGCTTTTCAATCAACCGAAAGAATGACGAAAGTATCACGAAAATGATCTTCTTCGCTTTTCAATCGAAAGAACAACGAAACTATAACAAACCAAACTGATTTCGTTCTATACTTCTCAATCGAAAGAACTAAACTATAACGAACCAAAATCCTTCGCTTCTCATTGAATCGAAACGAAGACAAAAGTGCAACGAAAATGATCTTCTTCGCTTTTCAATCGAAACTATAAAAGAAAAAACTTTTTTCTCTCTGCTTCTCAATATAAAGAACGAAAATCTTGTGTGTCGCTTTTCAATGAATCGAAACGAAGACAAAGTGCAACGAAAATGACTTCGTTCTTCCTTGTCGCATCGATCTAACCAGCGAGATTAGCCGGCGCATTACGCGGCCGCTGTTTACAAGGCAACGAGTAAACGGGCGGCGGGAAATTAATGGCAACAGAGACGCGGGGCTCGTTATAAAAGGCTCGCGACTCGGTGGATAATGCATGGTTATCCGAGAACCACCGGCTGACATCCCGGTAACGCGACCCGTGTCACGAAATTATGGAGCGTGCCGCGTGACAGCGGGTCGTTCGAATAAAACCTAAAAAGCACGGCAGACTGACGTGGGTACTGCGCGAAGTAGAAACTTGGCCGACGCGTTTTCAGCGAAGGTGGCGGCCCGGGGTGAACCGACGTCGCGTTTCGAGGCTGAACGGAAGAAGGAGAAACAGGGGACAAAGAAACAAGGAAAGAAAGAAGAGAAAAAGTGTGCTCGAAAGAATAGATATCGCTCGGTAAAAATACTTGGACAGCGTCTTCTTATCTTGGACAGAATTATCGAGGATCTCTGTATATCTACAATATATCGATATATTTATATATTTCTATAACAATATATCTCTATATCTCTATGTCTCTATGTCTCTGTATATTTACAATATATCTCTATATTTCTATATACCTAGAATATATCTCTATATTTCTATATATCTACAATATATCTCTATATCTCTATATTCCTATATTTCTATATTTCTATATATCTACAGTATATCTCTATATTTCTATAACACTATATCTCTATATCACTATATCTCTATATTTTTATTTCTCTGTATCTCTATATCTCTATATCTCTGTATATCTACAATATATCTGAATATTTCTATATCTCTATATTTCTATAACACTGTATCTCTATATCACTATGTCTCTGTATTTTTATAATACTATATCTCTATATCACTATATCACTATATCTCTATATTTTTATACCTCTATACCTCTATACCTCTATACCTCTATACCTTTATACCTTTTTACCTCTATACCTCTATACCTCTACATCTCTCCACCTAAACATCTCAACATTTCCATACTTCAATCTGTCCCACCTTCATTCACACCACAATCCCACCACAGAAAATCCTAGTCCCAATACATTCTAAGTACAATAGTCGACCAAAGTGAATTCAAAGTATAATTCAATCAATGCCGAAGCGAATGACTGAACGAAATATTGGATGCAACGCGGACAGCAGCGGATCAAGTTCACTCGATTCACCGGTGATCGACTAATAAAGTAGAATCGCAGACACCGAAATTTCGGTGAAACCGATCCGTTACTGATCGACTAATAAACTACGGCCGTAGACACCGAATTTAACCACCTGATAGAACGGTCGGCGTTAAACCGATTCGATACCGCAACGAGAGGATACTCGCCGAGTGCAGCAAGCTGCCGGTCAAACTGCCGGCGCATAATAAGCGGGCGATTTTCACTCGGAAATTCCTAGCGCAACTATCGCCAACAACAACCCGTGCGATTCCTAATTATAAACGAAGATCACGGCACACAACGGCGAGCTTCAACAATGATCGCCGCTTCGTCTGACCATGGCCGTCCAATATCTACTGCGGAACACAACAGAGGAACAAACGTTCTATTATAGTTCGCTGAACAATTAAACATAGTCGGACGTCCCGAATCTTCCCGTGGTTAACGATACGAACCTATTAGAGGCAAGCTTGACTTTTTGTTATTACGAGTTCAAACATTTGAAAATACGAGATACTATGGTCTCTAACTTTATGGTTTGCTTTAGAATTTACTTATGATCGATGCACCTATTACGTCGTTAATAATTTATTGGTAAAGAAAACGATAAGTATATTCTACGTTTAATCTGAAGTATAATTAACCGTTTGGATGCTAAACAACTTTTGTGGATATTTACCAAGAATGCGGAAGTGATTGTGTATGCGAAAAAATTAAGAGTACTTATCTAATGAAAATTATAAATATTGTGTTATTACAAAAAATATCAAAAAATAGCATTTATTCAAATAAAGTTACTTTAATTTATTTCTTGAAAAACATAGTGAGAAAATTATAATCGATACTGAGAGACAGAAGCGCGACAAACGGTTAATAACAGAAGAATAATATTTGTTTCACGTTCTATTTGAAACATCCACCACGAGTCTGACAGGATATCACTAGCCAAGGGGTTGATATACAACGCTAGCCAAATTGTCGTTCCATTCCGCGATAGAAGCTGAATGAAACGATCAAGTAACGAGACTTTCAATCTTTAATCCACATCGCCAGCGTTAAACGAAACGAACGAACCACTGAATTACGAAAAGTGCCGAGCACGCAACAACCCCTAATAGCGACTGCTCGATTATTATCTCGATTCCAATCGCTGAATTGATATTATTGAGATGAGAGATAACATGAGATTTTAAACAATGAACTTGTTTCTTAAAACATCAAGTCATGCTACGTAAATTATAAGTAGTAAGAACATAACGGTCAACATACAGAATATGAGAAACTGGGCTTTTGTAAAAACGGTCGAATTTTCCAGAGAACCAAGTGTTACCCGAAGCCCAGTTTTTCCGAAAACTGGACGTGACGCAGGAATTTGGTTTTCGGATTCGTATTCAGGGTAAGGAACTAGAATCACCTAGTGGTTATTGCAAAAAGCAAGATAGGTTAAAATTTGTTCCACAGTGTTATCGAACGCGCGGAGCGGTATCGAAGGTTGCATCGCGAGGAGCGTCGCGTGACGTCGGGACGCGCCGATAATCGAACGTGGGAAAGGAGGCTAAGGAGAAGACGAGTGGACGCTGGAATAACGAGTGGCGCAGTCGGGTTTCGAGCGGAATGAAACGGAACGGAGCGGAGCGGAGCCGCGTTCAAAGCTCTCGTCGGAAAGAGTCTAGTGGCTGCGAAGAGGCTGCTTCCGTGCTCGTTGCTTGCTTTGCAAGAACAGCCACTGTAACGCCTGCCGTTAACGAGCCCGAGCTGCGGCGGCCTTAAAACCGTTTGACGGAATTAAGACGCTTCACGTCTGCTCGGAGGAATCCTTGGTCGTTCGATTCTGAACGCGCTATCGGGAAATATTTGCTATTATTGGAAAGCGGAGGCTGTGGTCTTCGATGTTTTTAGGGTCTTCGAGGACTGGACTAGTTTGCTGATTGATTAATAACGCGGAGCTGAGGCCTGGCAAGTTTGAAATGACGAAGACTGAACTTTAACCCTTAGCAGTCCTATGTCGAGAAATCAGTAACAGCTCAACGCTACAACTAACGAGACCTCAAACTAACTGTTCTAACTAAAAGTTCAAGAGTTCATAAGACAAACCTGCGATTACTAAAATCTCAATTGATTTACGCTCCAACTCAAGCATCATTAACTCCTCAAATAATCACTTTTCGCAACTACGTACGAAGAAATCAGTAATAGCTGAACGCTACAACTACCGAGACCTCAAACTAACTGTTCAAGAGTTCACAAAATCTACAAACCTGCGATTACTAAAATCTCAATTGATTTACGCTCCAACTCAAGCATCATTAACTCCTCAAATAATCACCTTTCCAGCAACTACGTACAAAGAAATCAGTAATAGCTCAACGCTACAACTAACGAGACCTCAAACTAACAGTTCTAACTAAAAGTTCAAGAGTTCACAAAATCTACAAGCCTGCGATTACTAAAATTTCAATTGATTTACGCTCCAACTCAAGCATCACTAATTCAGCATCATCAGTAATTCCTCAAATAATCACTTTTCGCAACTACGCACGAAAAAGCCAGGAATCACCTGTTCAACCTATCCAACGATTCCAAACCGCACGAGACAGCATTCCCTTAAACGTCGTTCGTCTTCCGCTAGGACGACAAGCGTAGCAGCCGCATAAATAAGTGAAGTTCCCGGCGTGCTATCGTAGCCGAGTACAAAGACCGCCGGTGAAACGAACGCTGATGCGCTCAGCGTTCCGCGGACGGATGAGGGGCGTGCGACTTACCTCGGATGCAGGGCGCAGCCACGCTGCACTGTGGGGTAACTAGAGGACACCGGTGGAGGCGGAGGCGGGGCGCAATAAGCCGGTGGCGGCGGTGGATCATGTCTGTGGAGATGGTTGTGCCGGTGGCTGTGGGAATAGCTCAGGGAACCCTGCAGACTCCCGGGCAGCTGGCGGTGCGGCGTCGACTGGTCGCTGAAACCACCGAAATTCAATTTTCCTCGTGTCGTCCCTCGCTTTCTGCCTGGCGGCGACCTTGCGCCGCGGATAATCGCGTATGCAATTTCTTCGGCGCGCCCTTTAAGGGATGGAACTAACGATCACCCGTCGATTTCGCGGATAACTTCAAGTGTTAGTGGAGAGAGTTGATTTCCAGTGCAATTGTGCGAGTAATTGTGATTCGTGATTAATATGTTCAGTACATGTGGTACACGTGATTTTTTGTAATATTTTTAAGGGACATATGGTGGAGAATAGCTGTGTGCAAAGCACCGAAAACATCGAGATGTCAAGATATATGAAATTAAAAAGAAACGTTGTTCGGCAGTTTTTAGGACTTGATTTTACACGGAAATTTCGTTCCTAGTTTGCTTATGAACTGTATAGACTTTTTAAATAAAATGTTAAGTTATATTCGAGTTTCTTTTTAATTTCGTATATTATAAATATTAAGTTATATATTTTATTTAAAATATAACTAAATATTTTCTTTAGTTATATTTCCTGATATTTGGTTTCAGTATTACCTTGAACGCAGCGAGATAATTATCATAGGCCAGGATACTATAATTACTATTTACTAACATACGTTGACCTTTATTAAGCTTCTCTGATATTCAAAGACACGCGGGGCTATCGACATTACCGTATTAATGTCACAGTTATTATAATGTGAAAAAGTTCTATTAAATTTCAACTATTAGAAACGCCAGCGTCGATTGATATATTTTTGAACATCAATCAAACCGAAATCTCTAATGAAAAACAATAAGGAATTCGATTTTATAATTTTACTTTGGACTTGTGTTAAACATATCTACAATGCTACATTAATCTAAGCAATTCAACGATAAACTAAAAATCCCGTATTATCGAGGGGCCGGAAATGTGTTAATCCATCAGTTAAAAAATCAGTGCGCTTTATAATCAAGATATAACCGAAATTTCATCACTTGATTTGATTGCTTCGATCAAATTCAACATTGAACAGTGTATAATGCGTCGTTTCTCAGAAACAAAGCTTTGTTTCTCAATTCAGTTGTGATTTCTCTTTGAGTTCATTTAACACTAGAACTACCGTACTAATCAAAACGACTGGTTTCGACTTTGTTGTTTAGCAATTATTGACATCTTCGAAGCATTGAATATTCCAAATGATTTTGAAAATAACTAGCTTCATTCGAGTACTATAATGAATGTCTGAAGACACTGAAAATAATCTATTGTTACAATTTTTATAGGAATTGCACATAAATCGTATTAAATACTCGGTAGTTCCAGTATTAAAAAAACATCGCCTGTGTCTAATTACAAAATGTCAACCCTTTGAACTCCGTAGGCTCCAATATTGCACCAGTTATATCAAATATTTTAACGAATCAAAGAAACTACCCCAAAATCATTAGATTTTCCACACACCCAAATTTTCATACTAAGAAGGAAAATAAAAGATCTCAGAAATGTTACAGCATTTTTCATTTTCACTAGAGATACCATAAAAATTAGTTGCAGTTGCTAATAAATTACAAAACCATCTGTGCTAAGGGTTAAATATATCTAGCAAAATATTTCCAAGTGCAAAGGACTTTTACCATAGATCGTTTAGGAAATTTTCCAACAGAGAATTCGAAAATCTGCGTTATTGGGGGTTGATGAAACGGTACCCTTAAAGTTCGACGTTTGCCGACCATTGGACAGGAGACCGGCGTTTGCTGCCTTACCACTCGGAGGTAAGGAAGGAAGCTGCAGAGCGACCGGTTACCTTGAAAAGGTACCGAACTTATCAGTGACATTGCGAATTTTTCGAATTATCTGGAACGCTTTTCGATAACAAAACAATTGCGCGTTTAAGACGCTCCAGATATCCGAAATCCACGTGGATTACGGCTAAAAATAGATTCAACTTTGGAATATCGCGGTCATAAATCTTATCGGAGATAACGCGGTTTCCTCTGCGATAACGATTCATTTGAATTGATAATTTCATTATAGATGAAGCGTCGGTTAACGACATTTTAGAAATGGTCAAACATCGCTGGGTTTGCCGTGGGTAAATCCCGAAAGCGATTTCAAACATTTAACTTCGCATGACGAACGGCCATTTTGATCTACATTTCAGCTCGCGTGAATAGCAGAGCGATCTATGTAGAGATCTATAATAGAATCCATATCGCACGAATTGTAACGTCGAATTCTGTGTTAACCCTTTGACCTGGGATTTATTTTTCTAATAGGATCGACGCAACTACTTTGATATTGATGATTTATTCAAACGAGAGACAGATTTTAGGTATATTCTATGCCTCTGCTTACTTTAAATTATAATAATTGATAAGACATTTCATTTGTATTCACAATTGAGTAATATTTACATTTTGTTAAATTCTGTTTAAATCTTTCACCACGAGTCTCACGGTATTACAAGGCAACAGGTTAATAGTACAGGCAATTACTTTGCCATGAATAATTTATTCAAACGAGAGACAAATTTTAGGTATATTCTATGCCTGTGTTTGCTTTGAATTATTATAATTGATAACAGGACATTTCATCTGTATTCATAATTGAGTAATATTTACATTATATTAAATTCTATTTAAATCCTTCACCTTCTCACGTTATTACGAAGCAGCTACTTTGACATTAATGATTTATTGAAAGAGACAAAGTTAAAGTATAGAAGTATTAGAAGTATATTCTCTATGTTTGCTTTGAATTATAATAATTTATAACAGAAGAACATTTCATCTATATTCACAATCGAGTAATATTTACATTTCGTTAAATTCTGTTTAACTCCTCCACCTTGTCACGTTATTACAAGGCAAGGGGTCGATAGTACAAGGGTTAAACGATTTTTCGAAACGTCCCCGAAGCCACCGATCGCCGATCCGCCGGGTATTGTCCGTCCGATCCTCACACCTGTTAAATAATTGCGCACGAAACGAACTCTCTCGTTACATCCGGTGACGGCAGGGTAACCCACCTGGACGGTTCCACGGGACGCTCGAATTCCCACGTACCCGTGTGTGTTCGGGTAACGCGTCGACACACCTGAACGGAACTCTGGATTTCGATAAAAATAACGCAGCACGAACTCCGACGCGATGTACATTTCCACGGAGTCCCCTTTCCCGTTCGAAACGACAAAAAAATGGCACCCGAACATAAATATGTCGATACATTCAACGCGTTTCCTACTATTTATTTACATTTTCCGCAGCTACGCGCTCGAATACAATCAGAACATAAAAGAGAACTACGACGAAGACGGAAAATTGAGTTTCGAGAAGCAGTGAGATAGCGATGAGTTTTAATTAACGTGGACTTCAATTCACTTCTGAATTCCTCGAGAAAAATTATAATATGCAAGGTAACTGCTGTCGACTAAAAATATTTGGTTTCTAGAATTATATATAAATATTTATAATAAATTATATATAAATATTCAGTATTATAATACAATCTGTAGGAACTTCTCGATCCTTCGTTACGCGGGCTTAATCAGTTTGAAGCATGAATGATTCAATTACGCCGATAATATATTTTTCAAACTAAGTTCCACGCTTAACTGGTCAAATCGCGTTTTACTGAGTAGTTTTTCTATACGTGAATTAGTAACAAATCGGAATTCGACCGAGCTTATTTACGTTGCCAGCTAATATTTTTCCTATGTTCTCCGAGCGTACGCTGCCAACACGCGATTTCTATCCTCTCCGGCCGCTTCACGGTCCCGTGGCTCGAGTACGTCCAGCACCGTGACGTCCGACCAATTTCAAGTACGCGTTACGTGTTCCGCGGATCTCGATTTCGCGGCTATTGTTGCGCGCGTAATTAAAACTCGCCGGCGCGATGCGCTCCGCGATCGAACGCTGGAAATTGCTACTCTCCGGGGGCTCTGTAGGATGCAGCGCGATCGGTGGACATCTTTAACACTAGTGTAGAATTATTTAGCGTAGGTTAAAGTATTGTAGGATGAACGGTTCGTTGTGCGTGCGTAAGGGCGACCGGGTCGTATTGCGACGGACCGGCGCCGGGATGATTGGAAAATAGTGCGACTGCGTTTGGAAAATCTCGAGTGGCTGAAAGAATACGAGGAAGAGTGTCTGGAACCGAGCGACTGGACCGTGAGAAAAGCGTGTACGCGACTGCGTGAATTTTGACTGTGGACGAAAGATGCGAGCGAGAAGGGTGCAAGGGTGAGAAAGACGGAGCGAACGGGGGTGTGCGTTAAAAGCGAGTGGGAATGCGCGCGTGAGGACATTTTGGTGAGAGACAGCGGAGAACATTTTTGTGCGTGATAGAGAGTCGTGTGTTGGCAGGAGACATTAAAATATTTCTAATGAAAAACTTCTGAGTTCCAAGGGTTAACTCATTGTCTTACATCACGTGACTAGCGACGAAAATATGAGGTTATGAGACATAGTTACCACATTTCACAGAACCCAAATTAACCCTTTGAACTCTGTAGGCTCGAATATTGCAGCAGTTATGATATTAAATATTTTAATGAATCGAAGAAACTACCCTAGAATTGTTAGATTTCCTATTATTAATTAGATTTTAGAGATACCATAAAAATTAGTTGCAGTTGCTGATAGATTATTATCCATTAAAGTAACCATAAACATAGAACAACCATGGAATTCCTTTCCCTAGTGAATCATCGACTCTATTACAGTCAAAAATTGATTAAACCATCGGCTCCATTACACTCAAAAACTAGTCAAACCATTGATAACCTTAAAAAACCTGAATTATGCATGAAAATCACGCTACAAAGCGAACAACGCGTCTCTCTATCCGAGCAACAGAATTATTCACCTAATTTAAATATCAAACCTCGGTGTCTCCATAATGGCGGCGCTCGGCGGCAAAGGGGCAAAACAGGCCGGCGAAACAAATCACGGGACAAAGGGTTAAACGAGGCAAATATTATCCGACGGGGAAAAAAGGAGAGAAGGCGGCAGAGCGAG